TGATCTTATCTTGTTTGTACTTGTCAGACTGGTCTTCGGACCCTTGCCTCAGAGGTTGGACTAGGAGTGACGCCGTTAGCTGTGTATCTCTTGCCTGGCACTGTCCCGTATCCATTTTAGGGGGTGTGTCAAACATATGTATATATGTTGTAGTAGCCTAGACAAGGACATACTGTAGAGAGTTCAACACCCTAGGTATATCTTACCTGTTCTCTTGCTTCTATGATCCTTCTGCTACTCTAAGATTTTCATCCTACTCGCTTTTTGTAGCTAAGCGAATCTTGGTAAAGAAGGACCATATACAGTTCGAATGTAGGAAAGAGGAGCAGGGTGTTATGCACCATGCAGACCCAAAAAACGGGTACTCTAAAAAATGTACCATGTCATAAGATATCCCCAGCGTATGCCACCCATGGACTGGTTATCTCGACGGGTGCTATATACAGGGGATTACGGTAGTTTCGTGTCTCAGAGCAAAGAGTGACAAGAATGGAAGGATAGAAGGGTACATAGCCTAGTGTGTTGTACTCTCTAAGGTATGACCCTCTACAGACTTTAACAGCATACACTTATATGTTTAACACACCCCCTAGACTAGATAGGGACAGTGCTTGGTGAGAGACAAGCAGCTCAAGGTGGCACTACTAGTCCAACCTCTGAGGCAAGGGTCTAAAGAGCAATCAAAAGAGTACAACCAAGGCAAGATCAAGTCCACGGCGGCACTACTAGTCCAGCCACTGGGAAGAAGCCACAAGGCCGATCAGGATAATATATAAAGACTTGCACACAATCCAGGTCCTAGCAAATGAGGTGCTACAGGAATGAGACCAAGCATTACACATTGCCGCTAATGATCTTTAGGCGCAAGCGCCTTCGTTAAGATGTCAGCTGTGTTGGCACCAGAGGCCAAGTGTACTTCGCGGGCTTCGCGACGCTGCTGTAGCTCGCGCAGATGGAAGTAACGCAGCTAGATGTGCTTTGCCCTACCCTGGAGTCTAGGCTCATGACACAGGAGAATCATGGCCCTGTTGTCAGCGTACAGGACTGGGGCAGAACTAGGACACTCACCTAAGTCAGTGAGCAAGAGAGTCAGCTAGCGGAGCTCCTGTGCCACCATGGCACCGGCGTAGATCTCAGCCTTACAGCTAGACTGGGCAACAGACGACGAGCGGGTGGACCTCCAAGAGACAGCACTTGCACCAAGGCTAAAGCAGTAGCCCTAGGAGGACCTGAGACTCTCGGCGTCGTCGGCCCACGAAGCGTCTGTGTGTCCGGTAAGGACCACTGGTCTGCGTCCTCCTAGCACTAGCCCCATGCTCGATGTACTTGCTAGATAACGCAAAAACCTCTTAGCGGCCGGCGAGTGCTGTGGTCGGTGTCTGCCAGTGGCCACAAAGCGGGCCAGGATGCTGAGAGGGTATGCAAGATCTGGACGAGTGCAAGTCATCAGGTATATGAGGCAGCCGACCAGCTCTGCATAAGGACCACTAGGCTCTATAGATTCCTTCGAAACAGGAGCAGAGAGTCTATGGTCTACAGGCAGGGGGGTGGGCTGTGCGGAGGAGAACGTAAGGCTGAACCTCTGAAGGACCTGGCGCACCAAGTGTGACTGTGTGAGTGTGATGGTACGCGCTGCTCTGTCCCTAGAGATCTGCAAGTTAAGGTAGCGGCGCAACTCTCCTAGGTCAGTGCAGGTGTGTCTCCTCAGCAGCTCGGCCTTCACGGAGGCCAGCGCATCTTTGTCTGCAGTAGCAAAGACCATGTCGTCTACGTAGACAAGGATGTAGAACGGAGTCTGGCCTGAACGGATGAAGAGCGAAGGGTCTGTAGACGACGGGAAGAAGTGCAGGTCAGTAAGCGTAGCACACACCGTGTCATGCCATTCACGGGGCGCCTGGCGCAGGCCGTGGACGGGGCGCCGGAGGAGCCACTCGGTGCAAGAGGGGAAGGTACCGGAGAAGCCAGGGTGGTGACGCAGGTAGACCTGCTCGTGAAGACTGCCCTGGAGGAAGGATGTGGAGAAGTCGAGAGAGTGCAGCTCGTAGTCACGCTGTGCTGCTACATGTAGCAGTGCCTGAAGAGTAGTCATCTTCGGGGTCGGGGCGTAGGTATGAAAGAAGTCAACACCCTCACGCTGACTGGAGCCACGAGCAAAGTAGCGCGCCTTAAAGACAGGCGGCTCTCAAGGAGGGCACTTCACCTTGAAGAGCCAACGGCCATTGACTACGTTCACCCCAGGTGGGGGAACTGTGTCGACGAAGGTACCGGTGGACCTCCAAAATGCCATCTCCTGCTCCATGGCAGCTATCCACTAAGAGGCATAGGGTCCCGAGGTTTCGCCGGCCAGCGGCCCTGTCGCCTAGCCGCCCCACGGCCTCGTTACCTAACCGTGCTTCCCGATCCCAACTCGCCACACCGCCCCTTCCCACCGTGCTCCACCGCACTGCACCACACTCCATCAAACTACACCGCTCTCCACCGCGCGGCACCACAGTGCATCGCGTTCTATCGCACTGCACCGTGTTCTACCGCACTGCACCACGTTCTATCGTACTGCGTTGCGTTCTACCGCACTGCACCACACAGTAGTGCTCCCCGCCACACCACATTGCTCAGTACCGTACACTACCGCCTGACAGCGGTAGTGGCTATGATGGCAGACTCGGTGCTGCGCTTTGATGCGGAGGGTCAGCCTGTAAAGTTTGACGCGTGGCTCGTCGACCTCCGCCGTCAGCTCACTGGTCAGCGGCATGACAGCCATTCCTTGGCCGTCCACATCGACGGTATGCTCCCCTGTCCTAACCCTCCTGTCACTCTCCCGGCTGACCCCACGTCTGCTGACCGTGAGTCCGCGGCCGCTGCTGCCCTTTCCCGTGCAGGAGTTCCTAGAGACTATTGTCGCGCGCTATTCCACTCCGTCCTCTGCCTCTGCCGGCCGCTTGATCCTTCCCATGCTCTCATACCATCTCAGAGTGAAAGAGTGACTAGATTGGAAAAATACAATGGTATATAGCCTAGTGTGTTGTACTCTCTAAGGTATGATCCTATGTAGTCTATAATAACTTACACATATATGTTTGACATCACGCACCACCGAACCGAACCGCATTGATTGCACATTTTCGGCAATTGAACTGCACTGTATCACGCGCGTTGGATCCAACTTCACTGGATCCAATTTCACAGGAATCCGCCCTCATACTAAGTACCGTAATCCCCCGTATGAAACACCCGCCGGAATTAAGCTCCCCCAGGTAGCTTGAGCGTGTATGGGTGTTTAATTTTTCTGGATATACACAACACCCTACCATGGGATGTGAAAACATTTGAACACCCCCCTGCCGCCTAGAATCTTTTTCTTTTTTTTCAAGAAACACAAGAATATGCGATGTGAAGATGTGTACTGCCGTTATTTTTCCTTCTCATGATGTGCCAACGGTATCAAGATTTGCGGGAGTGGGGAAAACGAGATACTCCCAATGTGCCGCGGGTATTCAGGTAGAAGGTCCAAAATCTGCCCGATTGAAAAAAAAAAAAAAAAAAAAAAAAAAAAAAAAAAAACGCGAAATCGAGCACACCGAGCCGAACCAATCGTCGGGTGCCTCCTACTGGTCGGGAAATCGGCCGGCACTCATCAGGACACAGGTCACGCCTGCTGCACACGCTGTCTCCTTGACTCTGCACGTTCAATGCCGATTGTGGCATGCAACTGGGCCACATCGTCAGATACGCGATGTGGTGAACAAAAGTTGTCGTTTGACTCAAATGAAGGTGGTGAAACATGCACATTTGAATTCCAATTAGGAATGCCATATCCATGTTCCAGGCCTGACGTTTCAAAAAAATCCCCCCTGAGCTGTCGACTAAAAAAAAACATTTACCCTGAGGGCTCAGTTTTCAAAAAATGCCTACCATGATTTGTAAGTGTTCAGAAATCTGGAACCCTGAAAATCCCTGGGTTTACCGAACACGTTCAGGGTTGCCTTCAACACGAGGGGAAAATCAAATGGGGGGGAAAACGGGAGGGAATCAAACCGAGGGGAGGGGGAGAGCGAAACGGAGGGGAAGGGGGAGTATGGAAACATAGGGGAAGAGAGGAAGCGAAACGGGGAGGGAAAAAGGGGGGGGGGGGGGGGGGGGGGTGTCGAAATTCAGTAGTGAGGAATGGGAGAAGCGAAACGGAGGGGAAGGGGGTATCGAAACGGAGGGGAGAGGGGAAGCGAAACGGAGGGAGAGGGGGGGATCGAGGCGAATGGGGCAGTGGCAGAAACCTTCCGCGCTTGCAACGCTATGGGTGAATTGAGTACGTTAATCATATGCAATCATCTAATGGTTGAAAATTGTCGAAACGTTCGCGATTGATCGTGGCCGTCGAAGTTTGATGGACTTTTAGTTGACCACACGGGCAATAACGAAAGTGAATTTCTTTTTGTGCTATCACTGCCTATCAAGACTTAGCTAATTTTTGTAGGTTGTTAGTTAGGTGTGCCCCCGCCCAAAATCGTTGCCCTCCCTAATTCCCCCCCTCAAATCTCGCCCCACACCTCTCAAAGCCCGGTACATTCGAGAACTGCCTTGCTGGAAGCCGGGGTTATGTTTGGCTCGGCTCTGGTTTTACAGGGGTTTTTCCAGATGGGCCCAAATCGTCTGAGCTAGCAAAAAAACTAGCTCAGGTCGCGCAAATCTGAGCCGTTAATGCCTGACCAACGATGAACCGCTGAGAAACATCGAAACGATCGCGTTAGATCTTGACCGTCAAAATTTGGTGGATTTTTTTTCGGGAACTGGGGGCCAGTGCTGATCTTTGGTTTTTCACTACTCTAAAATCTGAAAGCTTCTTTCACCATTACTCTGAAAACTAGAGTGGTCCTCAACATTTTCCCTGAGGCATCAGGGTAACCCCACAATTTCAATATTTTTACTCTGGCTAAATAGGGGGGTATTTTTTCCGGCTCTGGTGAATGCTAGTTGCAGAGTAAAATAGTGACAGCAACAGTTGTTTTAGTAATAAAGCATAGCACAATATTACATAACTAATAATCATCATCCACGTTGTCATCCTCACTCCCACCTCCGACACTCTCATCGTCTGAGCTCTCTACAACATCCTTCTGCTGTGGGAAGAGGGGAATTTCCTGCTCAAATTCAACATTCCTAGCTTGCCTACGGTGCCTAATGCGCCTCCACTTCTCCACGATCTGGGGGTAGTCCATGTCGTAGTCCAGCATGCTAATGGTCATCAACTCACCAAGGGTGGCATCGCACAGGCTTGTGCGATGCCATCCTTTGATGACATTCTGCCGTGAGAATCCGCGCTCGCACTCGACGGTGCTCAAGGGCAACACCGCCAGCGCCTGCCACATCCGCATCAGGTTCGGGTACGACTTGGACCAGTCCTTCGTCTTCATCATATTGGCCAAACCCTGGGCGAAGTCGTCGTCCTTGCGATGAGTCTTCATGATGTGGCAAAAGGTCTTCAGCTCCAACTCCATCGCTCGCAGTTCGACTCCTTTTGGCGGGGAGGGAGGGGGGGGGTAGGGGCGTTCATGGCACGAAAAGGAGGTGTTGAAGTAACAGAGGAGACACCGCATCTAACCAGATTCAAGACATACGACAGGACCTCTTTTAGAGCCACTGACCTGGCAGCTTGTTATCAAACAGCGCCATATTCTGTTCAGCCCACTTGCGGCACCGGCGCTCCCGCACCTCTGTCTTCTTGGGCCACTGGTCCACCTTGTAGAGCTTTGACCCCTCCATCCGCTTCATGTCCCACAGCCGCCCCTCCAAGCACCCCACTGTCTCCTTGGCGAACGCCGTGCAAAGGTCTTCACAGTCGGAAGGAGTGCCGCCGAACGCATGTCCCGGGATGCGCGATAATGTGAGCTCGAACTTGTGCGTGCAGGGAGAGCCATCCGCCGCGATGCCGTGCACCTCGAGCGACCCCTTGCCCTCCTTGTAGCGGGCGAGGAACTTGTCGAGCTGCTTGCTGAGCCCGCCGCCGAACCGCTTCCCGTACTCGATGGATCGGTGCTTGATGTAGGTGACAGTGCGGTCGACCTCTTGGGTGACGAGCGTGATGTCCACCTGAAGGTTGGCGGGAGGGCAAGGGCAAAGGACAGGATGTTAGAACAAGTTTCACGCTAGACACACGCCCAAGATATTAATGAACTCAATGAGTTGCGACAGGAACGAAAAAGATTCAACTTACCGTGCGGCGCTGGAAAAACCTGTTCAGAGTGTTGAGCTCAGCGAGGATGTCGGCGAGGAAGTTGAGGCAGAAGTGGAACTTGAAGGACTTCAGAAGCGCAACGTGCTTGTGCTTGTACTCGATGAAGACGACGATGACTGCGCCGAGAATCCTGCAGAGTCGTCGCACAGCGTCACCACGTGCAAGCCACCTTATGGCGTAGAGCCCCTGATGTTCGAGGTTCGTGTCGTGGATGACAAGCTGCAGAGCCTTGAACCTTTCGTACCACGGAGTCGAGCGACCGACGATTTCCCCGAAAGCTCGGATGATAACGTCGACGATGAACAGGTCGGGGAAGGAGTTGGAGGCGTCTTTGACCGCCAGCGCTTCTCTGCGATGGCACCAAGGCACAAGTGAGATTAGAAACATGCATGGATAATCATAGAGACATGGACAGGAGGGTACTGCGACGGCAGTCTTACCGATGTGCGATGCAATGGCAACCGACAAGGTGCGGGATACGCAGTCGGAGTCGAGCGACGAGCCCGTTCTTCTCGCCGGTCATCACCGATGCCCCATCGGTGCTAATACCGGCGATCTTTTGAAGCTCAATGCCACTCCCTTCCAGGTGACCCAGCAGGACAGACTGGAGCGACGCAACATCACACTTGTCGATGGTGAGCAGGCTCAAGAACTCAGTGACGACGCGCCGCTTCTTTAAGAAGGTGCCGAAGGCGATGAGGTGCTTTCCGCGGGTGCGGTCGGTACTCTCGTCGCAGCTGATGCCGATGAACGGGGAGGAGTGGATGTGCTCCATCTGCTGTGCCTTCAAGAAAGCCACCATGGCTTTCACCATCTCCCTGAATCCATACCTGCGACAAACACCGTACAATAAGACATCAGATTAGACATCAGTCCCGTATTCAATACACTATACAAACACGAAAACAGTGCGCTTACTTCGTGATGTACGCGCCGTAAGTCTGCTTGGGTATGTCCTTCACCCCCTCCTGCGACAGGTGACCGATTAGACGTGTGAACATTGAAATCGGAGCATCTTCCTTACAGATGAATAGCATGGAGCGTAGAAGTCTGATGACGCGGGCGGCATCGGGGTCGTTCTTGGCGAAGTCGTCCATGCGCTTCTGGCTCTCGATTTCGTTGTCAAGGTGAGCTTGCTTCTGCACGCACGCCTCATGCTTGGTGCTCTCCTCGTGCCACCGCATGCTGCCAATCTGTAAGTCCCTGCCGCCAGGCCCATCGCGACCGTAGCGGGCTGTCGGCTTGCCATGCTGCATGCACACACTGCAACGTAAACAGGGTGAGCCATCGTCAGTTTTATCCAAGACGAGCCAAGAAAACCTTCCATGCCAATCTGAGGTATATTTCTTTTGAGCAGCAAGATAAGCTTTGGCCTTCATCTCGGCCGACGTTGGTGCGAGGGGTCGCTCTGCTTCAACGACGGGGGCAGGGGTTGCTGGCGGCGTTATCTTGGGAGGAGGCGCGAAGGGCAGATGTCTCTGCTGGTATCGTCGTCTCTTCTTAGCCGACGATGTTGATGCAGATGCCGGCGACGAGGGCACAGGATCCGGAGGTGGAGGATCTGCCGGCTTGTCAACCGACAGATCCGCCTCTTCCATTTCACGCTCCCATTCGTCGCTGCTTAGACTCGGGAGCGGCAGAGGCTCTATTGGGGGGGCGGTAAGTCGACGCTTCGGGAACGGAGGAGGGTCTACTGGGGAGGCGTTTGTGCGACGCAAAAAGTCTAAACCGCTGAGTGGGGTCGAGCTACGTGGGGGTGGGGCGTCATCCTCATCCTCCCCGCCATCGTCGGCATCGCCCAAGCCAGCCATAGCTGGCGAGGCGGGACGACGAGAGGATTCGAGGCTGGCGGAAAAGATCACGTTCGACGAGATGTGAGAGAGGGTTGCTAAACTGGTACACTAGCGCCTACTGCCGATGTATAACAGGGGGAGAAGAACAGGGTGAAGAAGACGAGGCTTTTCTCGCCTCTTCTTGATGCCCGTGGCGCCATCGACATGAAGGTTGGGTGCCTTCCTGAGCCATCCTGAACATTCGAGAAGGGCATATGCCCGCGCGTGCGGGGAAAGATTCCCGCAGTGTTGCATGCCTGTCGATGTGCGTGGCTGCAAAAAATGACGAAGGGGCCAATCAGAGGCACATACACGTACAGCGAGTACAAGTGTGGCAACAGTCGACGTGGTAAACTCGGGTGTGGCGCCGAAACCTGCGTAAAAAATACACTAGTGTCCAATAGGAGAGAAGGTTATCTGCCAGCAAGGGTGGGTCTGGCAACATATGACGTGGGCCAGCTCGGCGGTCTGCGTGAACAAGGCGAGGAAATGGGGGCATGTATGTGGACAGGGGGGGTACACGAAAATACGGGGGTATCCCCCTTACAGTAAACCCCTCAGGGTGGTACAAAAAAAAACCCTGGCTTATCAGAGAAAACATAAAATCTAAAAAATTTACCCAGAGGCGTAAGGGTGGTACACAAAATCAACTCTGAAAATCAGAGAATCAGAGTAATTTACTCGTGAAAAATAGGGACTGCTGGGGGCCTGGGGGAAATTCCGAAATGAACCAATGCTGCTAGAAAACACCAGTTTGGCTAAACTGAGCGGGAAGGCGAAACGGAGGGGGCACGAGGATCAAAACGGAGGTGAGCGGGGGATCGACATCGAGGGGGATGTCTACGAGAGTGTCGGAGGGGGAATGTCTGTCTGTACATGAGGACTTGGACAATTTTTTGTTGAGGAGAGTGCTACTCTGGCTACTAGGACTTAGCCGATTATTTGTGGGTTGTTGTGGGTGTCGGGGGGGGAATCTCTACCATAGGCCTTAGCCGATATTTGTCAATTTTTGTGGGGTGTGTAGGGGGAATGTCTGTACAATTAGGACTTGGCCAATTTTTCTAGGTTGCTGTGTGTGTGTGTGGGGGTAATGTTTCTAGAGATAGGGGACATCTCCGAAATTTCAGGTCTGTGAGGCACGTGGAATCGCATTCAGGGTTCGTATGCGTTGCTCCCTGAAAACTCAGTATTGGCATAACGCAATCCCTGAAATCCCAAGTGTTTAGAAACTTACAACACTGAAGGGGCTAGGGTTAAGATAAGTCCAACCCTGAAAATTAAGGGCTGGCCGAAAAAATACCCTGTGAAATCAGGGAATTAGGGTAAAATACCCTGATAACGACAGCCCTGGCATGTTCCACAGCTCCTGGGTGTTATATTTTTTTTCCCTTAAATTACACCCATCCCAAAATTTTCATGCATATTTATAAACACCATAGGGTGCTTTATACGAGGGATTACGGTAGTCTGATAAAATCAGCGCTGGACTTGAGTGCCAGGGGCAGCAAATAACTCTACGCCTTGTTATGCGTCAACCCCTCAGTTGCGTTAAGGGCCAGAGAACTTTCTACCGACTTTTTCTAGGTGTATTATTTGCTTCCACGCTCAATCTCGACTGAATCCTGATTGGTGCCCTGCAGGACCAATACCTGAGAAGGGAAACTCGGCGGGGGGAAGGGGGGAGAGGGTGGGAAGGAGGGATGAGGGAGGAGCGTACGGGAAGAGCTGGTCAAGCAAGGCAGGGCAAATACTGGTTGGAGGACGAGGGGGGATCAGTAAGAGGGGAGATGGGCTGGTTGGTACTCGGAAGGGACAAGGGACAAGGAGGAAGGGAGGAGCGGAAAGTAGGAGCTGGGCAAGCATGGCATGGCAGGGCAAATACTACATGGCGGATCAGAGGTGATCAGCAAGAGGCGAGAGGGGCGGGTTGGTTGGTTTTATATCCTCCCTCTCCACCTACACGCTTCACTCCTCTCCTGCTCCCATTCTCCTTCTGCCTTCTCTCACCCCATTCCCTCAATCCTAGACTTAGCCCTTCACCCAACTCTCCTGCTTGTCCTTCCCCTTCCCCTCACTCCCTACTGGATGCGCTGCTTCAGAGTCTGCTGCCCCACTCCACTCTCCCCACCCTTTTCCAATCTTCCTCTTTTTCACGACCCCCCATTCCCATCACACCAACAACCCCACCAGCTCCTCCCACGAGCCTGCTTTTTCCCCCCTCCACACCCCCTCTAGTGCGCAGCATCCGCTGCTCTTCAGTACTTACTCCCCCCCCCCTCCCCCCCCTCCTCCCTCCACAGCAATCAGCAGAGGGGTGTCAGGTGAGGAGGGCCTGGGGACAGGAAGGGAGAGGGGGAAACGGGTATGGTGGATGGGCGAAAAGGCGAGGAATGCCAAAGGGACGTGAGGGGGTTGGAGGGAGAGGTTTGCGGAAGGAGAAAGGGGCTGGAGGAAGAGCAGAGGTGGCACCATCTCGTCCCACCTCCCCTGATTTTCCTTCCCCTCAATTGCTCTCCTTACTGGGTGCCCTACTTCTGACTTCGCCCCCACTATTCTCCTCAACCAAATCAGGTTGAACCTGATTTTTAAACTGTACCCTCTCCCAATCCAACCCAACCCCATTCCCCAAACACACCCACCACTCCCCCCCTCTTGAACCCTCCTCTCATCCCCTCGCCCACAGCACCCGCTGCAGTCCACTTGGCCGCTCCCCCTGCAGTCAGGGAAAGGTCAGGGGAAAGGGACGGGAAAGGGAGGAGAACGAAGGGGAATACAGGGAAGCATTGGGATGGGAGAGAGGTTTGGGTGATGGGCCGTTGTAAGGTAAGTGAGATATTTTGGGAGATTGCAAGATGACGGGAGAGCAGGGGGAGAGGGGCGAGGGGTGTGGAACAAGGGGGGATTGGGGTGGGGTAGAGGGTGAGATGATGGGAAACTACAATGGAAGAGCAACGGAAACAAGGGAGGTATTTCAGACGGGGGAGAGGGTGAGGTGACGGGAAGACTGAGAAATAATGGGATAGGAGAGCAGCGGGGGGAATTAGGGGGGATTGGGGTGGGGTAGAGGGTGAGATGATGGGGAATTGCGATGGAAGAGCAACGGGGGAAGAAATGGAGGTTTTTGGGACGGGGGAGTGGGTGAGATGACAGAGCATGCAAGAGGAGTCTATTTTTGAGGCGCCTCAAAAACAGAGCATGCAAGACGATGGGAGAGCACGTGGAAAGACAGGGTGCGATAAAGCCGCGGCAGGAAATGGCGAGAGGGAGGGCATTGGGGGAAGGGCAAGGGTGCGAGAGGAGAAGACGTAAGTGCGGGGAGAAAAACGTGCTCGAGCGACGAGAGAGGTTTTTTAGCGACAGGGGGGTTGAGGGGAGGGGGAGGGGGTGAGGGTGAGCCGAGAAGAGTGGGGGCGGGGGAAGCGGCACTAAAACCGAAGGGAACAAACAAAGAGGCTCGCAGGCGAGGTGCACATTGAGGGAACGATGCCACGCTTGAGGAAGAGGGAAGATTGGAGCACGGAGTATGCGCGAAAGGGAGAGTAAAATGCCCAAGGGGTATGTTGGAGAGAGGGCCAGTCGACGAGGGATGCGAATAGTAAATATCGGCTTCTGCGATGAGGCGTTTTGGCAGAGGTCAGGAAGATAAGTATTCTTTTGTAGGTCACCTTTGAGTCGACTCAAAAGTAATCTAGTAGTTAGGGCACTTTGTATCTCCTCTTGCTGCGGGAGTTCCAGGCGGCATGTATCGCGGGCGTCACCAATACCGCTCGAGCGTGGCTCGCGTGGTCCCAGGTTACATCGTCTCAACCCTTCGTCGCGTCGACAGTAATGCTACTCGTCGAAAAGAGCGCGTCTATTTCGTCGAATTGACGACGTAACTTAGTCTGAGTGTCATAGTCTCCTGAAACTCTCGAGAAACCCTAACTTGGTGTGGGTGTACTGATTTAGGTTGATTCACTATTGCGCTCACAAACGCTGCTTCCTTTTCTGCAGCTGCTCTTTCAACTCAACTGCGAAAGCTGATTCCAGCTGGTAAGCCAGTGGGGAGGAGCGGAACAGACTTCGCGCGTCATCACGATGGAAAAGATTTGGTTACAACAAAGCTAGCTGTTAGCGGCCCTTGATTCCAGGCAGGGGAGTTTGCAGGCACATGGTCATGGTCGCTAGTGTTCGTCATTGTCGCAAGGCACTTCGACAGTTTCGTTTCTCGCCAGCCCGCTTGAATCGCATCAACGCAGTCAGCTCGGCAATAATTGTGATCCTTTCTTGTCGGCTGCGCAGCGAGTGAACGAATCCGAGTACCTGCGACGTCGTGAAGGTGCAATAGTCGTTCATTACGGCAGACAGAAATTTCCTCCATGACCGAAGACCTGACGGAACGACATCGTTTGCTCGGCAATATTGTCGCCGAGTTTCCTCTGCGCACGCCTCTGTTTCTAACAGAAGGATATTGTTCCGTCAGCCTCGCCGTCCATTCTCCGTCAGTTTGGGGGCAATAATTGTGGATGTTTACACCTGCAAGGCAAACGAAGCGCGATGCAACCTTCCGGAGCGCAGCCGAAAACGCATTCACCCAATAGCGGCTCGAAGCCGCTCTTGGGTGTGCAACGCCGACTATTCCCGTTCCAGCTTGGCTCGACGCAATGGCTCAGTACTTCATAATCCAGCTATTTCTTTCCTTTCATCACTCAATTCATCTTCACCTCGTCTAATTATTGAGTATCATTTTCCCAGCCCGCTTGCTCATTCTAAAGGCGCTACTTCCCTCTCTGAACTACTAAGAGCTCTCTGCAGCCAAGTAACTCAGCGATTTCTGTCCCTCTCACGCAATACTCCGCGATGGCTCTCGTTTCCAAGGTCAGCGGCGTGCTGTGCCTCGTGTTCTTCCTGTTAGCTCTTGCCCTCACTCCCGCCAGCGCCATTTCCACTACCTACAGCGAGGGAATCAACTACGGAGGCGGCGCGTGCAATTACGAAGGCAATTTCCGCGACAGCCCGTTTTTCTACAACGGTCTAACCGCGTACGTGCCTCAGAGCAAGTACAACGGCGGCAAGGGCTGCGGCACGTGCTACGAGGTTTCCTGCAAGAACAACCCGAGCTGCAAGAGCGGCAGCGTGACGGTTCGAGCCGTTGGGAAGCAAGGCGACGATTTCCTCCTCTCCTCGACCGCGTGGGACAAAATCGTGCGCGACCGGTCCGCGGGCCGCGTGGAGATTAAGTACCGCAGCGTAGACTGCCCTAAGAGCGCCAACATGGCGGTCAAGATCATGCCCGGGAGCAACGCGTACTGGTTCGCGGTTCAGATTCTGGGCGGCGCGAAGGCCGGCGGGGTGGAGAAGGTGGAGATCTCGAAGGATGGGAGCAGCTGGAAGAGCATGAGCGCGCAGGGAGAGAGCGCCACGTGGATCATGAATCCCGCCAAGGAGATCGTGGATGCGGGGAGGAAGGTGAGCGTGCGCGTGACGGCGGTGGGGGGTGGGTCGCAGGCGGTGCTGACTGATATCATTCCAGTGAAGTGGAGCGCTGGAACGACATACGAGAGCAGCGGTAACTTTTGAACACAAGGGCGCGTTGCGAGGAGGTGTTGCCGACACGAAAGCGTAGTGTAGAAACGTGGAATAAAAGCCAGAGGACCAATCATGATGAGACTGAGTCATTGGCGTACTGGTAGGCATTTGCCCCGCACTGAATAAGTGCTTGTCTTGCATGGAGTACTCTTGTTTGATGTCCAACTTATCATGTCCACAATATACACAGTCACCTACACCCTGTTTTGCTTTACGGTTGTCTGTGCAAGAGCTGCAGTTTGTGCAAGCGCTGATGTTGCTTGCGTTTCTGTCAAATGCTCTTGAGGCCATACATTCTGTTGTTATTGGCTCTCCCGCTCAAAATTGACAAATGCTGGTCACCCAATCAGTGCAGCGCAAAACTAACACCTGAGAGGAAAACGGCGAGGGGTGGAGGGGGGAAGGGGGCACAGAGAGCTGTTAGACATAATAGAGATTTGAATGTGATAGGACAGCAGGCAACTTGAAGAAAGGAAGAGATAGGAAAGAAAACAAGAGGGGAGGAATGTATAAAGGACGGTGGAAGGAGGCAGATAAAAGGAATGAACAGAGTGAACGAAGACAATGGAGGTAGCGCGTGGGGAGAGAAGCAGGGAGAGAGAGAGACGAGGAGAGGGAGAGATGCGGGGAGAGGGAGAGACGCAGAGGGAGGGAGGTGGGAAAAGAGAAGCTGGGAGAGAGAGAGGCGGGAAGGAGAGAGACGCGAAGAGAGGGCGGAGAGCGGGAGAGACGCGGAGGGTGAAGGAATGCTAAAGCGAGAGCGCTTGGGAAAGTGTGGAGCGATTCCGACAGAGTAACACTATTTGAATAGCGTGCTAGGCGCTGGTGGCAATTGGGCAGAGTTTGCCTTAAAGTACTTGGTCGAAATTTCTGTAGAGTAGAAGTTCACTAGAAACATATATATCCAAAGTACAAAGAAGCATGCAAATATATAGGCAAGTGCAAACCCAACCAAAGTTGCGTGGCGCTGCGGGTGTAACCAACCACCCCGAAGTTGCAAAAGGGTTGGGCGAACGCGCCTCGCCCAATTCTCCAACCCAACTCAGCAAGGTTGGGTTTGCCGTGTACGCAACTCCAACCAGCAAGGCGAACACTGCCTTGCTGCTCACGAAAAACCATCGCGATAGCCACGACTACTTATGACTCGTCAGAGTCACTGGTCGTCGTGAGCATCTCCGGACTAGTCTGCACAAACTAGACATAGTCTTCGGACGCAATGGTTAGTCCATGCACCTTGATCACGCCAACCCGCAGCTGCCAGGCAACTGGTGCACCGACATAAGTCGGTCAACGCCTGGCTGCCCGCAGCTGCAGTAGGGCTTCCAACACTCCCCTGCACTACTACAGCAAGGCCCTTTATAATCACAGGGCATACACATACAAGCATACAAGCCAAAAAGGAACACAGAGCACACACGCAAGGGTCCTATGCATCAACAGTACGCTTGCCATATTTCTTCATCTGAAACACACACCGCACCAGCCATGGATAGGCCATGGCACCATCACAAGCTGAAACCTACGAAGAGCCAGAAGCGTATGCACAGATACGCTCATAGTCACGGAATGCTGCCAATGCACGTTCCTCGTACTCACCCCAGCCTTTCTCCTTCCTTCCACGCCTCATGCTCTTCATTCGCTTCCTTGGACCAGCATCACAGCGATGAATACGGAAAGGGCTTGAAGTGAAGGCCATCGCATGTGTCCTCACTTGTCCCACTGTATCAAAGCAACGGGAAAAAGCTGGGAAATGTAACGCTTTAGTAAGATAGTTAGCAGGTTGCTCGCTGGTAGGGATGTACTGCAGGTCCAGCTTCCTACGCTTGACCATGTGCTGCAGCCACATGTGACGCCGCTCCATGTGCTTGAGACTCCCCTTGAGCCCCATGCCACCTGCCACAGCAATCGCAGACGAATTATCGACAAAGAGCGTCGTCGGCTCCTCACACTTGAGCAGCTGAAACTCTGCCAGGAGGAAGCGCAGTCTGCGAGCCTCCTTCCCTGCTTCAACTGCCGCAATATACTCTGACTCAGTAGAGGAGAGAGTGACGCAACGAATCCTCTGACTCGCCCAAGCAACTGCAGCACCGCCAAACACAAAGACGTAACCCCCTGTGCTGCTTCGTTTTTGCTTGTCTCCTGCATCATCAGCGTCTGCGTACCCTATCAGCTCCAAGGACGCTGGACCCCCACTGAATTCCAAGGCTGCATCCTTGGTCCCCACCAAGTAGATCAGGCACCGCTCCAGCTCCTTCCAGTGCTGATCACTGCGCACTGTCTGTCCTGACCCCAGCTTACTGCATGCGAAAGTGATGTCAGGGCGTGTGGTACAGGCAGCAAACTGCAAGGATCCCACCTTCTGCCGGTACTCCTCCTCCTGCCTGGACTGCCATCCCTCATCCTCAAATGTTAGCTCACTGAATGGGTCGGAGGAGAGAGGGGTCCGTGGCATACGCTGAGGCAGCTCCCCTGCCAAAAAGCGCCGCTGCACCTTCTCCACGTAGGCCGACTGGTGCAGCCACAGCTTCCGGGAGGGCCTATCGCGTATCAGCTGCAACCCCAAGTATTTCTCGATGGGGTTTATCTCTCTCAGCTGAAATGCGCCCTGCAGCAGCTCACGCAGCTCCCCCAGCAGGTCCATACTGCAGCTGGCCGCTAGCAGGTCATCCACATAGACAAGCAGCCAGCACATCTCACCCCCTTCATTGCTCTTGAAGTAAAGAGCCTCATCCACTTGGCTCTTGCACCATCCAGCCCCAAGCAGCACCCCATCTAAGGCCTCATACCAGAGCATCGGGCTCTGCTTAAGTCCGTACAGGCTCTTCAGCAGCTTGTAGACACGAGGAGTCCCATCCTCGTAATACTTGGGTTGTTCCATGTAGAGATCTCTGTCCAGCACACCGTGAAGAAATGCGTTCTTCACATCCAGCTGCATCAGTTCCATATCCAATGCCGCAGCCACTGCCAGCAGTATGCGCGCTGTCACGTAACTCCCCACAGGCGCATAGGTCTCCTCATAATCCACTCCTGCCACTTGAGTGAACCCTTTGACCACCAGCCTCGCCTTCTCTCGCTCCACATGTCCATCCGGCCGGTACTTGGTGTTCAGGATCCAACGATTCTTCATGATGTTCACCCCAGGTGGTGGTGTGACGAGTTCCCAAGTCTCCTGCGCGAGTAACGTCCGCATCTCCTCATCCATTGCCTCTTCGACACGGTCGCCTTTCCAGCACCCCAACGCCTCAGGCACTGTCATCTTCCCAATGTCCCACTGTCTCTCCGGGTCTGTCTCCACATCCGGATCAAGCTCAGTCCACTCCTCATCCTCGTCGGCATCATCCAACCCCGGCTCAACCACCACTGCCCATGCATAACGAACAGGCGGAACTCCCCTCGTAATGCGGGTAGAGCGACGCAAGTCTGGAGTAATGGTTCCTGAAGCCAATACGCGACTGCCACTCCACTCTCCCCCTTCTCCTTCATTCTGCGGCTGCTGGTCGCCTTCGCCCAGCTGCTGCGAATCTCCTTCACCCTGCTGCTGTAAGCCCACTGGCTCCGTCAGCTCTCCCCTTACTCCCATTTCCCACTGCTGCGTCGCAGTCGGAAGCTGTCCGTCGGTGGGCACAAGAGACGGAGGCTCCAACACACCCCCCTCACCGACGAGCAGCGCCGGCGGAGGGGAAGGGGAGGGTGACGCAGGAGGGAGGGAGGGGTTAGGAGGAGGTGGGATAGCAGAAGGGGAAGAGGAAGAGGGAGGAGATGCGGGAGGTGGTGGAGGAGGAGCGGGTGGGGCAAGAGGTGCGACCCGAGGAGACACGGAGGAAGGGAAAGGGGTCGGCACAGAGATGGGCACAAAGGGTAGGGCAGGAGGGACAACTGCTTCCGCCTCCTCAACCTCCTCTGAAAGCACATCTGGGAAGAGGGAAGGGAGGGGCTCATAGGACAGTGGTCGCCCAGCATGCTCCTGCTGATGCCATGCCTTCCACCCAGCAAGAGACATCGTCTCATAAAAGACGGCCTCCGAAGTGGTGACCAG